AAGGAGAGCTCCTTAGAAGATTATTTTTAGCCTTTATGGGAATACGTTTCATACAAGACTTTACGATCAATGCAATGTTGTGATCACTCCATCAAAAGCTCTTCACCAGCCAAAAGACATATCAGCATTCTGTGCTAATTACAAGGTCGAACAACAGCCAACTGGACAGCGGTCCAAGAAAAAGTGAATGCTTACACGCAAATGCATGCACACACAGTCTATCATCTACCGTGCAGTTTCATTTTCCTACAGGGTCATTCAAACTATGGCCCTTGACTACTTAGACTAAGTGCTCAATTAAGCATAGCTTGTTAGCCAGTTTCCTTTCCAGCTATGTTATTGCTGCCATGTGCTGTATTACGGTACTGTATGTAATACAGTGTGTTCGGCCAATATGACTGCATGTTCTAATATATTCATTCCTTTGGAAATCTCTGACATCTCAGACTCTTTTTTTTTCCCTCCCTTGACTCATATTTTATGTTTTCATGTTATGTCAGACCACCTGTTTTTTTGGTTATTTGAGGGACTGTGTAAAAGGTTTAAAAAATCAATATGATAATGTCTTCGCAACCCATTTTACTTACGCACTATGACATATTTTCAAGTGACACAGCAAATTTGATGAAAAATGTTGTGCATTATACATAGGAAATATACTACACTTAGAAAAGTGGGCGTTACTGTACATAGCCTAAATTGATTGAATACAAGTTTGCATTGGATTGTGGAAAACCATTCCCCTCCTCAAACACTGTTGATGATTTTTTTTTTTTTGACCATAGACATGAAGGGTGAAGGTCAAGTTCACCCTTGAGAGCATCTTGATGGATCCCAATGGAATTTTAGTTGTTATCATTATTTGCAATTATTGCTGTAAACTTTATTACATTAACAGGCATCCAATTTCTTCATTAACTAAGGCCAAGATTTTAGAAAGGCTGCATTATCTACAACATTAATGCCTTAATAGCTTTATTCACTACTGATTAATAATAGTTCTGACTCGGAATAGGTCCGAAAGGAACTTCCGAGCCAGAAGTAGTTAACATTTAATAAAAGAATACGAAAGAAAACATTTTTCTTTACCAGGAACGAGTAAAAAGACTTTAAAAGGCATGCGTTTACCCACTCACGTTAGATATGCCAAGATTTCTTCATAGAAAAATCATTTCAGAACATTTAAAGGCATTTCAAATGCCAATGGCACACAGCCTACGTCATTCAAACACTAAGAGTAGGCCTATGTTTTATCAAAAATGAATGTGGTTAACATTAACATCACTGATTAGATCACCATCGTTATCGGGCGATAGAACGTATTGTGTTTATAGTAGCCAGCCAGCTCCTTTCAGTCTTTTCAGTTCGCTCCTAAGGCCTCATTTGAACAATTTCCCCCGGAAAATGAGCACGAGCGCTAGCCCAGACACAGCCTCCCATGTCGAACAATCATAATCACGCTATACTCTTACCATAACACCGCAATTATCCTCATTGCTTACAGCAACACAAAATGCATGATGGATGAGAGTATGTGTGTGTGCGTCTACAGAAACATCTCCCACGCACGTCCCCATCTGTCGCGGATCCTCTGCTCAGTTCAGCGTGCGACCTCCATAAATCATACCATTAAGATAACGTCGGCGGCCCCTGGCTGGCTCGTACATTACCCCGGCAGACTAAACTCCATCCGTTCAAGACCCGGCTCTCTGATAAACAGCTGACACAACAGCGACAACCCACATACAAACAGTAGTTCGACGGTAGTTCTCGCAGGCGTATGGGTCAGACTTAGAGGGAGTGATGTTTTATCACCAGTAGAAAGTAATCCGTGGTGTAAACAAACGCATATTGCGCACATTTGTGGGGTTTGCTCTTTTAAGGGTTGCTCCAATCTACTTCAGGTACATGTGGGAGGTATATGATCTGTTTGGAGAGTCTAAGCTCCTTGCTGCATATGTTACCATTATACTTCATGCCTGGTTGCAGTCAACTGATTTCTTGTGACATTATGATCCTGCACATTTCCTCTAGAGGTAATTAGTCGTAGCAGTCAATAAATCTCCTCTGTTTGTTTTTGTAATGTTTATTATGGTTTAATTGCGTTTTTGCCCCATTTCAAAAACGGTTTTCTACACATCGAGGAGCGAACTACAAATGCAGTCAAACTTTCTGCATAATTACACAAATGTCATTAGAACTCTGGTTATATAGCTGTATATAGTGTCCAGTGACAAAAAGACACAAGTCTTAAAACGACAGAAGTGGGTGTAAGGCGGCGATTTAGAGACTAGAAGAACCCTCCAAAATCAACATTCAAACATGAGCTCATCTAAACATCTGTCCACAACATGTCCAATCATTGCCCTGCTGAGGCATGTACAATTGTTTCTGGAAATAAATATTAGGGCTAATTCAGCTCTGATTGTAGCGGCCAGTCGCGGGCCGGAGAGGAAACAGTCGTTTGCGGCAGACATCTAATGTGAATGTTTCTCCCAGGGTCCTCTTTTTAATTACCTGTATTTATTTGATCTTGTTTTACTCCTTTCTTCTTCTCGATTGAGGCTACATGGATTTTTTCGTCTGATTCTCCTAGACTTTATTTCACACTTATGCAGCACCAGTTAAAACTGTAGAGGTCTGAGTGTGTTTTAAGTGAGGGTCTGCTGTGGACTGAGTTCAATTATACTTAGGCTGTCTGTCTTTTCCCGTCACACTCCATTTGGAGTCGGCGGATACGTTTACACAGAAACTAATCATAACTAAAACATTTTTGTGTAAATCTTACCAAATTACTCTGCATAACAGGGGCAGGGAGAGGAAATCAATACCAAAAACACTTAAGGTAACATCTGACCGTTCTTCCGGACCTTCTGGATAATACTAAGATAAATGATGAAAGGAAAATAAAGTCCCATTAAGAACACTTATGAAGGAGGATTTTTTATATAATTGGGCAAATGCAAAGATCGCAATATCCGGCTAAACTAATTCAGGCCCATTTTTCACAATTAAAGCTGGATTGCACAGTGCACTGTGTATTGTCTTGTGAGTCAGCTAATAGTTCAATATAGATGGAATATTTCCTAAATAAAAGGCATGTCAGTAAATATTAGTGTACTTATAAATAAATATACTGTCATATACTGCAAGAAACAAAACCTGATTTGGTACAACACAGATTTGATTAATTACTTAATTGATTAATTAAAGAGACAATACTTAAAGGATGGAGAGGATATTTAAAATGTGTTTTTAAATACATTTTCAAGTAATTCTGTCGCATAATGACCTTCTCTCACATGTTTTTGTGTATTTTGTTTTTAAAATGTAACGATTTTACAACAGATGGACTGTCACAGAATGATAGTCACATTTGCTACATTTCCATAAGCCATGAAAAACAACCAAAAGTTGAAAAAAGCTCTGAGACTACAATCAATGCCAAGTACAATGCTTCCCCCTTGTGGTAGATTAAAAACTTGACATCAGGATTACTGGGTTGTTATTATTAGATACAGCCTAACTCTCCCCAATTTCAGACTTTAACACATGCCCCAATTTCTCCATATATGCTTGGATGGAAAGGCTGTAAAATGAGTCCTGGTAGGATATATAAAACGCACTGCAGTGACATTAACTCTTGTGTCCTTAAGGGGGGAAAAAAGCAATTTTGGAGAGTCAGTCCAAGTCTGAGAGAAGCCAAGCACAGACCCAATCCAAGCCCTGTGACCAGGTCACACACAAATTAACTTTTCTCGCTCCCCAGCCTCGTTAACAGGGAGCTGGAGGGAATATGACAAGTGCAGGAGGTGCGAGCTAATAACACTGGTTATTCTACCACTGTGAAAGAAAGAAAGAAAGAAAGAAAGAAAGAAAGAAAGAAAGAAAGAAAGAAAGAAAGAAAGAAAGAAAGAAAGAAAGAAAGAAAGAAAGAAAGAAAGAAAGAAAGAAAGAAAGAAAGAAAGAAAGAAAAACCTTATTTTTTGCTAAATATGATGCAAAGTTCATCAAATGAAAAGGGGATGTTGTTATTCATTAATTTTCTTAACGTTACAAACAAACAAAATCCTTCATTGTCACTGCTAAAATAGCCTGGTAGATCATAATACAAGCAATATAAGCTCAAACTTTGCAGTCTGCTTGATTCCAGGCAATAATTCCAGGAAATTATTCCACAAGTGAGATTCTTTTAGCCTCATGACATCAAGAATTTGATGAACACAGACTTAATTTCTGTAATGGCACACTTTCTTATTAAAGCTACCTAATGAGTAGATTTTCCTATTTCTCTGCCAATACATTTTGACCAACTCAAAACGCATAATGAAGCCTTTTGCAAAGTAGTTGGCATCATTGCTTTTTACGAATGTGCAGACTTCAATTCTGTCTGCTATATATAGCTAATACACATATAGGCTATATGTATATTAGCTACATCAATTAATAAAACAATTGGTGTTCTATGTACGCAAGCGTCATTTGGGCGTTGTTGGCTGTTGAACTTAAAAAAAACAGACATTTCTTGACAAAATAAAAGAAAATATCACTTATAGAATATACTGATGGCATTTAAACCAAGTAAACACAATAAGGATGAGCTAAAGCAACATTTGACTTTTACCAAGAATAAACTAAATAGGTTATTATTACGCAAATAAATCCGTGAACAGAAAGCGTCTTAAACTGAGGGAACGATTTGTAAACGGAACTAACTGAAGTGCGCGTGTATCCCGCGTACATCTCCAGACAGACATCCGGTTAAAGGATTCGTCCGTTAGTCAACTTGAAAATTACTATCAAAACACATTTATTTAATGTAAACAGATTTATTATACTACAAAATACCTGACGAAAAGTCTTTCACACGCACCTCATGGCGGTTTGAAGTGTCTGCTAGCCTAACTGGTGCTGAATGTGCACGAGCCGCGCGCGAGACTGAACGAGTTGGTAAACAAAGTTGCGGATTGTGTGAAATAGAAATTTGAAAGGCGTCTTACCTGCTGATCCACCCGCAATGATCTGATGAGACGCCTCTCTCAATAAACTTTGCTTTTTAGATGTCATTTTCTGATTCCGGGCCTATGTCGAGAAGGAAAAAATGTTATAGCAGTGTTGCCGCATTTTAAACCGATTTGTTATTTTATCATTAATAAGTGTCTCAGTGAAATGTAATGCGTAATTAAATTGAAAAGGCCTAGAGGAATTAGTTAGTACGTTGATGTGGTCATAAGCCGCGTGATATAGTGCTGCGGACTACACATGTGTGTGTTTAAACCTTACTTTAGTTTGGGATTTCAGGAAAGATTGTTTATTGCAGTTCCTCGCGTTACGGAGATGCAGCGCTGTTCTGACACGCGGCGTCTTGGCGCGCGAGCTGAAATGTGTGAGCGCGCTCTTGGGCAATGCAGTTTAATTTTAACTCGGAGACAGATTCAGGGTTCACTGGGGCCACTGGCAGAGGGCGAATGCGAACGAATTATCTAATAGAGTAGAAATAATAATACGGTACTATTGTTTATTTACAGTATTTCACATTTAAACACACGTCGAATGTCACTGCATTATATTAGAAACCTAAGCAATTCCCCATCTGCAAACAGGTTTTGCTAAAGCTTTTATCAGAAATAACGTATTCAGGCATTTTCAGTAAATGTATACTTTCAAGGAGATTTTTATAGACCTAGATAAAGTCAGTCCCCTTCAGATTCACACAGGTGTCCTTCCTAGCAGAGTAATCAGATGTAGAATCACTTTCGTCCAAAAGTTCAAATGCCTTTTGGCTCAGTTTTGAATGGTATATTTAATGTTTTATCACTTAAAACAATAAACTTTTTTTGTGAAATGTTTGGCTTGCTTTTTAAACATAAATGCTAACTAATATTTTATGTAATGCCATTCATCAATTTTAATACATTGTGACTTAAAGGCCCGGTTTCACAGACAGGGCTTAGATAAAGCCAGGATTTGGCCTTAGTTCAATCATGACATTTACTTAGCTTTAACGTGCCTTCGAAAAAAACATTACTGGTGTGCATCTTGAGACAAAACAATGGATGACAGTGCAACTTGCTTTTAGTTAAAACAGCTCAAACCTGCATTTTAGTCTGGGACTAGGTTTAAGCCTTGTCTGTGAAACAGGGGTAAAGTGTATTATAAATATGTATGTATTAGAGTATTTAGACAATTATTTTAGGGATAAAGGACATTATAAGCTGTTCCAAGTTTATAATTGCAACTAAACATGTTTAAAAATCATCTTAATCTTTGTGCAAAATATGCCATCTTTCACATATTAAAGTCAGAATAAGTTATTAATTGAAATACTACTTACAAATGGTTATTTATTAATGTAGATAAATTCTACTATGTCTAGAATTGTTGATGGACAAGCACAAGTATAGGTTTTCTCTACAATCTAATACAACAGCTCATTGTTTATTATTAGCGTAGTGTTTTCCACATTATAAAGTCATAAAAATAAGCTCTGCAACTAACATGGTGCATTGTGGGATTTTTTTAACAGTTGCCATGTAAATTATTTAAATGTATGATATATAAAGTTTTTATTAGATTAATAATATATGAATGTATAGCTACACACAGTACTTTTCAAAAATAATTTCAAAAAGCACTGACTGATATATGTTATAGCATAGTTGTAACAAAGTAAAGAAAATCAAATGAATAAAAAATTACATCAGATGACATTCAGATATGTCACTGTATTTTGTTTGAGTTTTACAGCAGAACCCGGAGCTTAAAATAGTTTACTTGCTGTCTCATAAACTAAAAGCTGTCATTTAAAATGTGAAGAGAAATATAAAAATACATCCTTGAGAAAGTCTGGGGTTCCTCCAAACCATGTAGTGAGTCACAATTTTTTTCCCCTCCTGCAAAAGGCAACAATGAAAAGCATGCTTTCCCTAATTCAACGTTACAACTCGCTTAGAGAGAGTGTGGCTGAATAATAAGCATATTACCGTATTAGCTTAGAACATACACATTTTTTCCCCGTTTAATTTTCAAATGTGAATTTATAGCAGGCTATTGGCAGGGAAATGCCATTAGCACTTTGACCTGCCTGGAGTGTGAGAGCAGAGAAACCCCACCCTGTCTATAAACCTACACGGTGGCCAGCAAATCTGCAGTTATGAATCAGTGTTTTCTGCAATATAACAACAAGTAAATCTAAACAAACTGTTCTGTAAATTCGTCTGAGGCTTTACTGTGATTGCTACGGACACACAGAAAGCCTAGCCTAAACGAAAAGGTTTACTTGATATAGTTGAATGGAGACATGTTTTTCACATAAGTGAAAAACAAGAACTTAACATAATAGTCATACTGTTCAGTCCACAAATCGAGTGCAAGAATTAAAAATCGAAAAGGAAACAGCAGCACAAGTAACTTTTTATTTGCAACAATCTCTATGCATATAAAATCTAAAGCTCTCACAGCATCACTTATGAATGACTGTACTGCCACATTTTTGGCCTTGAATCTTAACAATGACAAAAGTGACATTATTTTCAATTGGCTGCTTGGAACACTAAAGTTTCTAGAAAAGTCTGACTAAAGAAAACAAGTTGGTTAGACCAAAAATGATTATTTTTAAATGACAAAATAAATATTCAAAATTCAGAGAAAGTGGTTTGATTCATAGAATAATTCAAGTCATATCATTATTACAGCTTTTTCAAAACTCATCCCTACACCCTCAAATCTTTCAGAATCTGCCATATTATAGGTACAGTGTGTCTTTACCTACTTTGTCAATTATCCATTTCTGAAACACTCTTGATAATTCTTTGCATTTCTCTCTTTTACAATGTAGATAACACTTGTATGTGTGGTTAAGTTTTATGATTTATGGTGGAAAAAAGAAAATGAAAGAATTTTCTATGATTGAAAGCATGCAACGTTTTTCAACTGCTACGATTTCATATGTTTTCAAATCTGCATATAAAAAATTTACATGTCATAATGATATCATCATTGCTGGGTAGTAACTAATTACATAATTTTTGGAATCTGATTATGTAATCCAGATTAAGTACTTGTAATTAGATTACATTTCAAAATACTCCTAATCAGACTACAGTTACTTTTTATTGATTACATGCTTACATATTATTCACACAATGGCAGCAAATCATTCATAATTTATTGATTCTCCCTAATTATTCTGGTCACAGTGTTAGAGGAACCAATCAGTGCTCGGTTAGAGTTTCATGACTGAATTATGTATTCTAAATGTATTTCCTTTTGACTCAGCTATGTGCTTATAGATTTAAAGATATTCATGTTTCTGTCACCCAGTCGACCAGACACTATTCAGGTGGCTATAAATCCATGGAAAATTGAGAGGCCACAAAGCATTTGACCACTGGATTTATAGAAATCATTTCACTTTTAAGGAGCCTTTGTTGTTGATAACAAAGAATAGAATATATTTTCTTTCTCGTTGTATTTTTCTATCAACACAATATTATCCTATTTAAATCAATGTGATAAACGAGTTGGGTCAAAAGTGATCAAAAAGTAGACAGATTATATTACCTTAAATGTGTAATGTAATGGATTACGATACTAACTACAATTTTTGTAATGTAATTTGGAGTCAGAAATGAAATACAAATTGGTAGGTAATCTACCCAGCACTGGATATCATTATATAATTATGACCATTCTCAAGCTACAAACTTCACGAAAATATATGATCCTGCACATATTAACGTAATGTTGTGAAATGTGTGGGGTGTGCATCAATTTTTTTCTCTATACAAAAGGCAAGGCTATGGCTAGTATAAGTAAATATGATACATGTGTGTGCCTTTTTGCAACTACTGTATTACACAAAACTTGTCACTATGTTAAGATGAAAACAGATTGGCTCAGATGAAGCATTATGTTTGGTAGTACATGGCACGTAATATGAGAGCATAAACTAAAACTTTTAGCCCAAACTCTGTAACTTGTTGATGAGGTGCTGATGATGTCATTTCCTTTTTGGATAAATGAGAAGAACTCATCAACCCTGTTACACTACCATTAGACACACCAACAGTACCACTCTTGAGTTTTGTACCACCTAAGACTGTCCTTTCTATACTGGTTAGCTAGTTTCCACATATGTGCTAATATAATAGAGATGATCTGTTTCTACGCATCCTGATGAAGTATTCACTGTATAAACTTGATGGTATAAACTGTATATGACTGATGGTACCATTAATTAATGTACCGTTAAACAGTGGAAATGTCCTGAACAAACATAAACATAAAACTAACTAAATAGACAATTCAAACAAAGACATAGATGAAACAAAATCATGTTACGCACAAATGAAAAAGTCAAACCATGTCTTTAACTGGACGTCCAGTTTAAAAGCTCTAATTCCTTAAAAATGAGAGCCAATCTTTTTTGCACTCAAGAATAAAATACTCTTGGATCTACTCCGACTCGGTGGGTGATCTTCTCAGGGTGGGTTACTACGAAAACCCACTTCGTGATGTGTTTATTTTTTGTATTTGGACTACGAACAGTGTGCAAGTAGTTGACCGTTTCACACAATAAATAACTTTTTTCTTCCAGTTTATTGTTTGAACCTTCAAACACAAAAAGTTTGAACTGTATCCCAAATGTAATCATCTAAAGTTCCCCAAAATGCGTTTTTGTTTGTGTATGCGGACCATGCGATAGGTTGCGGATGTGTCCAGACACCTGGAGACTGAGGTTTTAAAGGAGAGTGGGGCCTTTGGTTGTGTATGTCATTGAGGGGAAGTGTCGGCTGTCGATGTCCCAGAGCTTCCGGTCTCCCTGAGGCCCCAGCACTGAGCCTTGAGTCTGGTTACCGGCCCCTGGTAAGCTGGAGGTCCAGTAGTTAATATAACTAGCCATGAGGAGAGTCAGTTCCAGGATCTACAGCATTGAAAGAGAGAGAGAGAGAGAAAGAAACACAATGAACCAGCAAAATCAGAAGTGCAAACTCTTTAGTAGATGGATATTTCTATATTTAACTTGCTCTTACTGTATCTCGCCAAAAAAGACTTGAAGCACAGAAATGCAAATAAAGATCCTCACTCAGTGGAGCTCATTAGCACTTCCTGTATCATGTAATGCTGTATGAGTGAAACCCCTGTTTTTACCATCAGATGTGATTCAGATAGTTGTTTCAGATGGGGTGTATGAGTTTTTAAGATCTGTTTTTAAGATCTGATTTTACCCACACACACTTAAGATTAGATTTCTAAGATGGGTAATAAAATTTGATGCTAAAAGCACCACATATATCAGAATTCTGTCTTTACTGGCAGCATTTGGAAATGCAGTTAAACTGTGTTTTCCCTTCCCTGTAACTTAGCATTTCTTACCTTTGGTT